TATATATATATATGGGCGAAAAATAGCTCGATTGACAGAAGTTACTGGAACAAGGTTGCCACTGGAACTGGTGCCATGGAGAGTGTGATGCAATTGTTGTTATTACTCTATTAATAACAGATGGCCGGGAAAACGGTCTTCGAAGCGATAGTTTACTGGTGTCATTATAACTTTTAAGGAAATTTATAGATTTAAGCGAATATGAAGCGAAATCAAGCTGGTCCTTTGTTTTTCCGTTCCGTTCTGTTCTGTTCGTTTGTTTTTCGTAGTTCCTTTAACTTGCACACAATTTATTGCCTTGTTATTAATTAATATCAGGTCCTATATTTCTATACATTAGTAACTAAAGCCCCGCGCTATCGATAAAACATTTGGTCGCTTCGCTGTTTTTTTGTTTTCTTCTTTCTTTCCATGTCAAAGATGTTCCATCGCGCGCTATGCTAGACAACAACACGGATACCGCGATGGTGATAGCATTTTGTAATGCTCATCAACGATATTTACACTAGCCTTGTATCATATGCATCCAACAATACATTCATTACATAAACGCTAAGTCTTTAAATTGATTGTGTATATATCGTCACGACCGTTTAAAACCTTCCTCCAGCGTTCCGACTATTTAATGATCTTGAAATGCACGTTCTCGGACGCTATACGTTAATAATTCATCTTTCCTTCGGGCTGGTTTCTGAAAGTATCGACATTACCATTTTGTATAACCCAGTGGGTATACAATTGTTGTCTGGCAACAACTCAGCCATTGCACTGATAGTTCGGCTGCTGTTCTACCCCAGCCGCACCGTGAGACTCGCTCGGCATCCTCGAACTCTCCAGATCTAAATATCCACAATGGAACGTCGCAGATAAAATGATCAGCGGTGCTTTTTCGACGAAAACAACGTTAGGTACGGACCCAGCTGTTTCAAAAGATGTTCATCTCATCACGATCCATCATCATGTGAAGATCCCGTGAATAATAAGATTTTGCGTCTACTATATAGACTAAATGCTATCATTGAAGACAGTTTGCGCTACGGAATAAAAAAAACCATATCAGTATATTCTCGAAAAAGCTTTGCATTAAGTCGCCTAAATGGATCACTACAGTTTAGTGATGTTCGAGAAAATAAGTGTAAGACATCTATCTGTCTAAATCCTACCTGATTGAAGCCTGTGCCACTATTGTGGTTATACATGAATTTGGCATAATTGCATATGGTAAACTTTGATCTATGAGTAAGATAACCCCCGATGTAGCTCATATGTCAGCAAGACTGTCTATTCAAGTAATGCCTTTTTAACATATATCTATCCAAAAGGTGCAAAAAATAACCGTTAGAGGACCTCCGCGATATATACACGAAGGGCTGGCTATCTTGGTCATAATATATATATATATACGGTTATCCAGATCTTCTCTAACGGTTAATATTTTGCACCTTTTGGAGATTTTGGCTGGTGTGAATTTATTTATTGGCATTTAATAGAACGTATCACCCGAAGGCCTGGTTGCCTGTGCAGATTAGATGTGAAATAGAATAGAAAAATTATGAGTGAATAGTTCAGGTACGATTTAGACTTGATTTAGTTTGCTGTGTATGACGGCCACGTTGAATAAGGAAAATTTTCGAAAAATCTCGTTGAAATATCAGTTTTCCTATAATACATAGTTTCAAAAGCTGAGGGAAGCTCAGTAAAGCACTTTTCATTTACTATCGGCTATTTTTGTACCAACAATTTTCGGTAACGTAGAGCACAGATGCAGCAGTTGCAGATTTAGCTTATTTGCAAAAAATTGTTACAGCGCTTGAAATAATGATGAGAACGTTTTTTCATAAAGGAACAAGGAAGAAAGGCACAGGAACAGTCAAACTTCTCAAACTCGACCACAAAATCCAGCCGCTGTGCTCACTACTCGGTAGTTTAAATACTGATTTATTTTTGTATTTACCCACCGGCAAAGTCCGTCCTCGTAGGTCTTTACAGCGACAAAGCTGAAACTCTTGTCTTTGGAAAGCACAGACAATGAAGTCTGCGATCTTTGCAGTTATGTATTGAGACAGCTGCACGTAGAAGTTACGTGCTAGGCACGGGGTTATACAGAGCCAATTCGAAATAACATCGTAGTTCTTCATCATAGTGCTGCTTGTACCTATTTGTGTCACAATCTATTTTCTATGTTAATTTACAAATTTCGCATATTCGTATTTACTGGTTGATAGGATTAGCTGGGTAATTTATATATACACAAACACTACATACGTATATAGTAATAATCCTGCCAGCGTTCTAGTTCGTCTCTTTCGTGTCAATAGGCCAAGAATTTCGTTCAGCACCACGGTCCCGTTGGTAGGTAGCCAGGTCGCAGGGTCGCGGCGGTACCGTTGTTGTTGTTGTTGTTGCTGACATGGTAACGATGCGTCAGTAAGCGTAGAAAGTACTGCTCTGTCCTCGCGATGTGGGCGAAAAGGATCAGCATTTCGTTGGCCGGCTAAGGCCACAAACTAAATATAACAGTGATGAGGAACCAGTGAACGGTCAACAGCAGAAGAGGAAAAACACCAGACCTTTACCTAAAGAGAATCATGACTGCATTATATAGATGATGCTGTTGCTCGTAGTTGTGACAGTGGTAGATGCCAAAGTGGTCGTCGTTGTGTGCGGGAGGAATTAACGGATGGACAAACGAGGTCTGTGCGAAACTGTGTCATCTATCACTGCTGACGCTTCTACGCGTCATCGCATGGTTTTGATGATTGTTGTTATTGTGTCACTGACGCCTTGTCCGCTGATTACCGTTCGCCGTTGATGCTGCTGTTGCCAGTGGTAAGTGACGAACAGGACGTTGACGACAGTAACATTCTGCATTACTTAGTGCTGTTTTCGGCTCGCGTTCTGCGCTTCTGATCGTTTTCTTCTGACGTTGAGAATGTATGCCTTATAGCCACATTATTGGATTGTGGACTATTTGGATTTTTCTAATTTGTAATACGCTATTGCTGCGAGAGACGATTTTATCTCCCGTTTGACGGTTTTGATGAGATCTAGCTTGCTCTTGATTGAGCCACGTCGCTTTCAATAATCTAGGCCACTACGTATTACTACCGACAACGCTTTTTGTCTTACAATTCGTCTATCTGAGACCAAAACTTCTTCAGTTCACGAGCAGGTCTTCTATCTGCTCCCTTGCATCACCTTCATTATTTTTTTTTTCTATTATTGGTCCACGTATACTAGCTATTTAACAGTAGCTGAGGATTGTTCGCAGCTCGATTGTTTCATATACTTCCGTAGTAGAGGAGACGGAACCAAGAACAACAATTATTGAGTACTTCGTTTATAAAATACGATCTATTACGAATTACATACCGTGTGTGTGTGTGTGTGTGTGTGTGTGTGTGTGTGTGTGTGTGTGTGTGTGTGTGTGTGTGTGGGTGAATGGAAGCAGATGGTCGAATTTTGTTATTGATGGATATCGATTTTGAATGTGTTTACTTCTAAAGTGTGCGTAGTGATAACATTTAGCCTAAGATAACCAAATAATCATTATTTCTCGTTCGCTACATATATAAAAAAGCAGAAGACTTACGTCTAAGAACTACTATTGAAAATTTCCATTATGTATAATTTCGT